TAAGTATACTTTACATGCAATATCTGCATTGCATCTAACATGAAATGTCATTGTTCATACTTTACCAAGCTGATATATGTTTAATAATGCAGTCAGTACAGTATGAGCAGTCTTTATTTTTCATAAACTGCTGAGTTAATGAGAATCGATAAGTGACATCGATAATGGAATCAGAGTCTGACTGCTACAGCAGCATCATCAATGATCTCACCAAGTTAGACATTTGGCAGAATTTCCTGATACTTTTCCAACAAAAGACTAAAAATGACTAAAAATATCTGCTTATTGATTAATGATGAAAATGCTTTCCAGATGGTCTCAGTGTAGACACTGTTCAGCACAGCTTGTGCGTCATATCCACAGGTTATCACACTTATCACCAACTTCTGAGCACTAGTTTTCTTACTTGATATTTTAACGATTTCTGGCTATGAACTGTATGTTTAATATTTCACAGACTGCAAGATTAAGACCTCCCATATCCAACAATTCAGTTTTCTTAATCCCAGTCTATAACACTGTTCTGTCTATGAAACTTTATGAAAACTATTATGAAAAGAAGCTAGGACCTATTTAGTCACCCCAGACTTTGCTTAATTGCTTGATGATTTAACCAGATATTATTTGATATTATTCTTTGAAACCAAGGCTACACGTTAACCCAAAACAGGCCCAGTATCTTTTTAAACTTGCCTCTATAATGAAAGCTGTAAGACATGATGGGATTTTACATGCAAAGCTGGATTACAGATGATGTTTTTTCTGCCATTTCTGTTCTTTCTGAGACATAAACAGTTGGATGTTGACTCTTTAAATTATATCACTTGTTTCTTTCAAGTAGGACTCAGCAGGTTAAGGCCAATAATACTGCCTCAGCTATCAGTACTTGAGCTCCGTTAGGCTCTTTCATCTTGTCTTTACTCAAGTTTTCACAGAATTATATATTTAAATGCTCAGACCACTCTGCTAAGTTAACCTTACGCTTTAATGCAAGATTCAGATTAAGAAGAAAAGCAGTTTGTTGACCTGCATGACACCAAAAAGCTATTTTGAAATGTAAAAAAAAAGAGACTGAAGTTATTTTTAATCCACATAATGTTGGCGATCACAGCTCTGTGGATCCATCTTTGTAGGGTCACCGTTATACAAATTGCTGCATGATTCATAGATTAAAATCTTGCACGTCCGTTGCAAACAAGAGGTTTCATAAATACAGAGAACTCAGCCATGTCTTATTCAGTGTTAAAATAAGAGTCCACAGCAATGGAACAAACCTTGAAAAAAACAGAAGTGTT